CCCCGGGGGGGGGGGGGGGGGGGAGGGACATGACCATCCTCATTTTTTTTTAAATTACTTATATATATTTTAAATATTTTTTTTCAATATATTAAATTGTGCCCACTCTATTTTTTAATCAAGACCAAAAAATGCATGATATATCTATGATTTTACTTATAATTTTAACATTTATTTTAGTAATTATCACTGACATGATAGATAATATATTTTATTGTGTAATCAAATGAATGATAAATAACCAAGTAATAATATAATTATGGATATAAATAATAATAAAATTAATGCAAGACTTTTAACGTATACAAATTTATCGAAGTCAATTCTAAATATTTTTGATTAACTTTTGTTTGTTAAAAAGATATATTAGCCTTTTTTTTGTCATTTGCATTTACTATATTTAGCAATTTTAGTCTTTTAAGTTTAATAAACTTTTAAGAATTAAATAGGATATAATTAAATATAAATGCATTATTCTATTTTTATTAATTACAAGAAAAAAAATTAAATTTGTTAAAATATACAGTACCCACCCTAAAATAATTTTCTGACTCCACTCCCGACTATACCATGCTAGTTAACAATAGTTAGCGTAGAACGTTTAAAGAAGTTGATTCTGTTAATTAAACTCACTATAGAAGCAAAAAATGTCACGAAAATGGGATTATGATCAGACCCTAGGAATGACGTCCAGACACTAGAACACCAAACTCAAAAGTACAACCATGCAAAGAAAAGGATATATGGCAACAACTTTAATGATCCACACTGCATAAATGAGTTGTAGGGAACCCTTACTTATAATGAAGAGTGCAGCAATCCATACACCGGTCGAAGCTCGAAGAGGAACCTTTCCCTTGTGATCCACAGATGAATTATACACCCATTTCTCTTGGTCACCTTCCCTTATCTCACTTCTCTTTCTCTCCTTCATTTCCTGCTCCATCTCGAGTTTTCGACCGAAGAAGATGTTCCTAAGTTTACTAAAGAAATCACAAGGATAATCACAGATTACTCAGAACTTGGTTGCTAGAGTGTTTTCTGGGGTGAGGAGTGGGTTTGCTTGGTAGTGCTTTTATAGTGTGACGGTTCCTGGGCAGAAAGGGTTGGTTTTCCATAGTCTCCCACAAGATAAAGGGAGATCCTAACGGTTTTATTTGATATGCCAATTGGTGTGGCCCAACTTATATTGGTAATGATATCTCAGAGAAATATTGGACCTAAGTCAAAAAGTAGGATACATGAATGTAACAATATAACTGCTCAATACGCAAGACATTAATGGAATAAGATGGTCCTTGTACATGCCAACTGGTTAGGCATTCCACCGCCCACCCCCACTACCATCACTGCAACCGGGGATAAGAAAAAACAGAAAACCCCAAAGAAAAATAAATTTACGATCAAACTCGGGCCTAACTCAAGTTGCCTGAATTTATGATAGACATAGTCCATCAACTTTGGCACTTTAAAGCATGTCTATTCTATACCATTCACAAAATTATAATTATGCCTACCTATGGCAACTTCACAACTCTAAGTTCTCTCCAAGCCAATGATGAGAGAAGTATCAAATGTTTGTCAGGATTGCTAAATTGTACCAAATAGCCATATTAGGGAAGCTTTTCTCTAACACCACGCACTTTTGAATTTATTCCAAAATCTAAGTGGTATTCTAAAGTCGTGTTACCTTTAAAAAGATAATGAACGCATATTTAATTTTAAGTGAATTTGTATTCTGAATCGTGTTTCAAGCAAAATCGTATTGTAGAAACATAACTTTGTTAATCATTAAATGATGGTATTCAAATTCAGACTTTAGCTTTTTCTCTTTGTACTAAGTTAAGACAGCAGCGGTTGGTACATATCTATTAAACTGTGGATTTAATTCCTATTCAATAGCTATTATCTTTTTCTTTTATGCTTAGATCGTTGATCTGTCTCTATGGACCTTGCAAATATATATGGTTTATAATATCAAAAAATTATTTTCTTCTTTCATACTTTACTTATGTGGTTAATTTATACCAAAATCTTTTTGTGGGTAACCCCAGTGATATCCATGTGAATATAGTAGATTTTACTTAGATATATAATGAGTATTTAAATATTGAAAGAATACAGGAAAAAAATATGCTGAAAGAATCAAATTCTATCAGTAGTTTACTTGTTTAGAAAATAATGAGCTGAAGCTTTAATACACAGATTTGCTTGCTCTTCAAGAGTCCAAGCCGAATCTCTGAATGTGACCAAGCCAAGCTAGTCCTACACTGTTCTATACATGAAAATTAAACAAGAAACTGGATTGGCTGTGGAAAGTAGAAACCTTTTCTTGGTTTCACAAGTTTATCTGCTTGTCAAATGCTTTAATTGGATACCATTTGGGCTACACATTTTTTTTTTTCAATCAAAAGGTGATACTTAGTCTAATTCATAGCCATTCTGTTGAATAGTGCCTCTGGGTCGTCACTCTGTTAAAAACTTGATCATAGTAACTGTATTGCAACACCGAAAATTACTTCAAAGTCATGTATGAGAACATTTTCTAGTTGTATACACAAGGATTCTCCTAAACATCCAATTGAATGCAACCTATTATATACTTTTCTTAGTCCAACCTCTCTCTCTCTCTCTCTCTCTCTCTCTCATAGCAGGACATTTTGTTTTTGAATAACAGTCATGTTTTCACCATTAATTGGAAAGTGGAAAGTGTTACTCCTGTAAGGATTGTCTCCACACTTACGCTTCATATAACCAATACTTTATGGTTTATAGGTCATAACGTCACTCATTTAAAGCCTAGATTCTCACTTTACTATTCTATTGTTTGTATAAGGCCATCACAAAGGGTCACAAGGAATTGTTCTTCGTTGACTGCTATTTATTAAAATTTATTTCGGTGGTGCCATTTCTGAGATAGAGCTCTACACTTCTGCATTATGGTGATGATATTACTATTATAAACTAATTGGTTGAAGAATCTGTTCTACTTGATATATTTGGAAGTTAAAAGGGCAAGATGCAATGTTTGTTATGACTGTTACATATTTTCTGAGATGGACAGTCGCCATTATAAATTCTAAAGAGAGGTAGGTGAACACAATATTACTTCCAAGGCAAATAAGTTACTTATATGAGTTGAACCAACCATGGCGGTCATATCCCAGTAAAACCATCTTACTGCTATGCCAAGATCTATCCCTAGATCAACTTATTCACATACTTTTTTGTTCTTGAAAATAAAACCCGACCATAGCTTACTACTTTCCCAAACTCTGTTGCTAAAGCAATGTTGAATGTGCTACGTGTCAGTATCAAACTAGTAATCAAGTAAATTAATTAAGTGGTGGGAATAACAACCTAAAAGCAATATGATTTCCTAAGTATATATACGATAACTCAACAAATATCTTGAACTACCTAATCATGGGGCCTGATAACTCAGCAAATACCATGCAAAAACATACTCATGTGTAGTCTACAAAGAGATAACCCGTGATCCAACATAATCTAATCCATATCCCCAGAAGAATCCACCAAAGAATTACCTTGTGAAAGGAAAAGATGTATGTGAATCAAACTTGTATTTTAGCTTCCAATACCTCTATCCTTTGTACAAGGTTCTCCCTTATCATGGGGCCTGATAAAGATTAATGATATGCAAGTAATTTACCCTTACTATAGGAAGAAGGTGATGCAGCATGTGTAGCAAAGATTACATGACAGGCAAGGATCATCTTAAGAGGCATTATGTGGGGTAGACTTTAGCCACAATATTGAAAAATTACAAAAGACCACATTTCAAAAAACTTTCGACGATCTTTGCAATATTGATACTTCGTCAAAAGCTTCTGACGAGGTATTACTGAGGGCAAGCATCATATTTGAGCCATTGGGGTTATTACAACTCGTTGGTTCATGCATTGCTGCAACCGATGGATTATCGAACTTGAACCCACAATGTATTGTTTGGACAGGTAAGCACTTGTAAGCACTCTAAAGACGACCTGCGCAGCAGCTAATTATACGAAACACTTCCATATATAGGCCTACAAGGTTGGGTATCCATGTAGAGTGTTAGCACTGTGCAGATAAGTGTTAGGCAGCAGTGGAAGCAACCCACCGAGCCCCTCATAGCCTTGATTGCTGGAGCCTACTTGAGATTGGCAATGCAATAGACACGTACCACATGTTTCGTGAGGCTATTGTGTGTGCTGGTAGACAAGCATCCTTTTCCTCCCACAAAAGAAGTGTTAGGTACTAGATCTATCTTGACTGGTTTATGCAACATAGATGTTGACTAAGGTCACTCCATATCATTACTAGTTGAAGTCACACCACTAGAGATTAGAAAGGTCAATGGAATGTCAGCCTTCTTTTTATTCATCTTCTTGGCAATCTTGTGGGGATGATCTACATATGAGTTATGTCAATTGCCAATTATTGGTAGACCCTTCAAAATGCAGCCACTTGTTTTCATGGTGGGTTTGAGCACTGTTCATAACCAACAGTGCTACCCCCACCAACCCCAAACTTTCCAAGTGGTTGAGCAGATAAAGTATCCACTTCTGTCACTCGGTTTGCCTCTTTGTATAACCTTTTTCTTTTTCTTTTTGCTTTGGCTGTAAAAAAATAGTCTAGGGAGAGAGAGAGGTGGCATAACTCTAGCTAGAGCCTATATGCGTGTCTCGAGGGAGGACAAGGAATGATAGATCATGAGTAAACTTAGACCGACAGAAAAAAAAAAGAAAGATAAAAAACAGGGACTAAATGATGCAAGTTATAATTAAGAGTTAAAATAGTAAGAATCATTAAAACATGGATATGTAGTTTTTCCAAATTAAGATGATTCAAGGAACTTCATTCGATACAAACCATTGACATTGCTTTTGGGTGAAGTGGTTTGGAGGGTTTTTGTGAAAACTTCTTTGGGTTTAGTTCGATACTCACTCTGACAAACTGATTCAAATGATTCTAGTGATAATTTTTGAATGCCTATTTTGAAACTTGCTAATGGATGCCGTAGTTTAAACGAGACAACGAATTTAGTGAATTGGATTTATTCTATTTATTTTGCATCCCCATTAGTCCTACCAATAAGAATAAAAAGATTCGAACTTGGACGATATCAGAATCTTAGTTAATGGACCACCCGCACCAAGGGTGCCTGTTTTTATTATATGATCATGCGCCACTAAAAAAAAATCAAACAACTACAAGTATTGTGATTTATAAACGTGACAACTATTCATTCATGTCTTAACACTACAAAAAATAACTAAAAGATTGAACGAGCGGTCCAAAATTCAGAAAGTAAGTAGCCATTGTAATGATGGGTCTCAAGTATTGGGACATTATGCTTCATAATTTTCAGAGAGAAGTTTATGGAAAAGTAAAGGTGAAAGGATCACCTATTTTGAAGTCAGATTCGTATTTGAAGAGCACTATATTTAAGTATGACAAGAAAAAAAAATATATTATACAACCTAAATGGTTCATTTGAAGTTCGAATCTTGTAAGAGTCTTAATCGATAAGTTTGATTCATAGGGCTAAAAGTCTCGTTTTCTTCAACTAATTCAAGCGATTTAACTAATAGGAAAGTTATCTTATTGAACATTTGATTATACACAATCTTGTGAACATTAAAACCACTCAATCAACTAGTCTTCGGTAAGCCAAAAGAGGTTTTTATCTTTATCTTTTCTATTAAGTATTTTTAATTTCGTTTTTTTCACAAAAGAAGAAACTTATTCTTGTTTGTTATAGGATAGGGCGACTCTATAAAGTGGAAGTGAAATTCATCTTTTATTTTTTCTTTTCCATTTACACTGGATCTCTCCCGTTTCATCGATTTTGTCCAAATCTTCATTTTCTTCCAAAAAAAAAAAAAAAAACCTAAGGAGAGGTATCTTCAGTGGATCTCTCTAGTTCTTGTTTAGTGTCATTTGTTTCCGATGTTATTTCTATTTCTATATCTATTTTTTCCACACTTCAATCATTTTCTTTCGCTTTTGAAAATTTTTTCAGCTTCTTAATAAGAATAGATGACAATATTCTCTCTAAATAGTAGAACTTCAACGCCCACCAATCCACTCGCCACATGTGCACTTGTGGGAATGGTGCTTTGCAATATTTTATTGTACACCCTTGTTCCCTATACATGTGTCAACATTTTTTTACTCTTTCTAGTGGCCATTTTATCTCCACACAACTAGGACCATGACAAGTGGGGAATCCATTTGGCCAGGGGGGCTCTGCTTTAGCATCTCAAAGATACCAAATCCCGTCCAGAAACTTCCATGGTGTTGAAGCATAGGCCAACCCACCCACCATGTATTGGTGAGACTAGACAAAAATTCTAGAAATGAATCATAATTTAACTGCCTACAATGGTAAAGCAAAACATCAATGGACCAAATCAAATTTGATTGTAACATGAAAGAGAAGATTTTGTGAAAGCAAAAGTCTGTATACCCAATTCAATACCCGAGTCCTACAAAACTCATATACCAAAAGTCTGCATTGCAAACCTACTTATATAACGCAGGAATGACAATGGCACTCATGAACTAAATATTTTCTCACATTTCCTCTCAAGGAAAATTTGTGGTAGAAATTAGCTTGTGTCCTAAATTCTATCATGATACAATAAATTTTATTTCATCACAACATCGAAGGAGACCTTAATTAGAACAACAAGCTCTCCTGTTCAAATTACCTGAATAATCCCCAACGTTGATGGTGGTACCTTGACCAGGAATAGCAGCCGCCTCCTGAGCAGCCAATGCCTTCCTGCTGATTATCTGATAAATGTCCAGCAAAATTGTCTGGAATGCCTTCTCAACGTTAAGAGCTTCTAATGCTGAAGTCTCAAGGAATGACAGCCCTTCCTTCTCGGCCAAGAGCTGAGCATCTTGATCTGGTACTGCTCTAAGATGATTCAGGTCAGACTTGTTTCCAGCCAACATGATTACAATGTTTGAGTCTGCATGGTCCCTCAGTTCACGGAGCCACCTCTGAACATTTTCAAAGGTTTGCCTCTTGGTAATGTCATAGACTAAGAGTGCCCCAACGGCACCTCTGTAGTATGCACTTGTGATGGCTCGGTACCTCTCTTGCCCTGCTGTATCCCATATTTGTGCCTTCACTGTCTTTCCCTCTACCTGCATCACATAGGTCAAACTAAATTCACAAGAAATATATCCACTGCAAGGAGGGTGTACTTGCACTAACTAGCTGCTTCTCCCAAATTGTTCAACACAATATCCAATGGCTCCTGCAAAGAAAGTTGACGATTGTTTCTATAATATACTAGCATCCCATCTAACATTCCGACCAGAGATGAATCTAGTAATCACTCTGGTGGGGAAAAGTCCCTTGGATATGTCTTTGGGAGAGGTATTTAAGAAAAGAGAAAAAAAAATAAAAATTGGAGAGCGAATTCTTTATAATTACCAGGATCACTTAATAAATACTATATCATACCAAGAGATTTCCACACTCTTGGGGATAAACCCCCTCGGTGCAAATTCATCATTGTCAATATGGTTTTCCGACCTTTTCCATTTTTTATTTTCCCTGGTTTTTGTATACTTAGTAAAAGTTCCAATGTCACAGGGAAGTAAAAATTGTAACAAGAAAACCAACTGCAAATGTCTACAGAGAGAAGGCATAGCACTGTGACCAGTTACTAAGTTATTGCAGCCTGTCACCAAATTACTTCTTAGTATTTAGAATGCAAAAACCAAGCATTTGTAAAATATCTCATACTTATCCAACATTCTAAGCATCTCAATTTCCAACTGAAATCCTACCAAGTGCACCAAACACGCAATATATCTATTCCCAACTACAAATCTGATATTGTAAAAAATACATGATCTAAAGATAAAGATTCCTATCTAATCAAATGCTTTGAATGGATCATCCACACAATAAACTTCTTAGCAGGTCCACATTCTGCTTGATGCAGACTACACAATATGAAACCAAGTCTTCTACCAGACAATTTGTCTTCTTATAGTGCGTGCTAGTCCCACTTTTTGCACCTTTTCATTGACTAGAGTTTCCAATTAATGGGACCCGATTAACCTTCCATTTTTACAGGTAAACAGAGAGATCTCCAACCAGCTGAAACTACATCAAGCACTACACTTTCATATGAACTAGTCAACTGGCATCCATGTTATCAGCAAACTCATGAAAAGATGGCTTCCATTGAATGATTGAACCCCTAGGAAGCATCCAATTCTTCACTTATTTCTTTGACATACACCTCAATTTTACCCAATAAAAACAAAATGTGCAATTTAAATGCACATAAATTCATTCTATGACTCTTATGACTCTTTTCTCGCGTTTCATTCGAACTATGAGCATATAGGCTATAAATGTTAGCCTACAAAATGCCAAATTTGATTCTATATTCATGCAATCGGTTTTGGATTTAGTCTTTTTCCATTCGAGTGGTGAATGATGGACCCATCAAATAAATGGGTCAGCATAACGCGATTATGGACAATTATACATGAGTTGAATAAATTTTGACACGACCCGAATTAACTACGATACAAACCCGACTTGACACTAGCCGTTCACAACTCTATTCATATTTCCCTAAAAACAATCAAGTTATCTGGGTGTCCAAACTACACAATGTGTTCACATCATGGTTAACAATGAGGGACTGCATTGGTAGCATTTTGCCTTCATTCCCCAGTTTCAGACTTTCTTTTTCCCACTTGTATTTTTGGGTCTAAAATCACACCCAAAAGCATTGATTTATCAGCAGCAAAAATTATAAGAAAATTTACAGATTGTAGGTCATAGACATTGGAACCAACCTGAAGGGTCCTTGTTGCAAATTCGACACCAATGGTGGACTTAGACTCCAAACAGAACTCATTCCTGGTGAACCTGGAGAGTATATTAGATTTTCCAACACCCGAATCACCAATCAAGACAATCTTGAATAGGTAATCGTATTCTTGATCAACCTTATATGCCATCGAGTCTTCCCTTTATATCCACACCACCACAAAACCTACATTGACCCAAATCAAAATCCATTAGTGGAAGAAAAACCAACAAACATTCAAGAAAATGTTTGAAAATAACTCCAGATTTACAACGTTTTTTTTCCTGTTTCTTGTCTTTCAAGTNTGCAGACTACACAATATGAAACCAAGTCTTCTACCAGACAATTTGTCTTCTTATAGTGCGTGCTAGTCCCACTTTTTGCACCTTTTCATTGACTAGAGTTTCCAATTAATGGGACCCGATTAACCTTCCATTTTTACAGGTAAACAGAGAGATCTCCAACCAGCTGAAACTACATCAAGCACTACACTTTCATATGAACTAGTCAACTGGCATCCATGTTATCAGCAAACTCATGAAAAGATGGCTTCCATTGAATGATTGAACCCCTAGGAAGCATCCAATTCTTCACTTATTTCTTTGACATACACCTCAATTTTACCCAATAAAAACAAAATGTGCAATTTAAATGCACATAAATTCATTCTATGACTCTTATGACTCTTTTCTCGCGTTTCATTCGAACTATGAGCATATAGGCTATAAATGTTAGCCTACAAAATGCCAAATTTGATTCTATATTCATGCAATCGGTTTTGGATTTAGTCTTTTTCCATTCGAGTGGTGAATGATGGACCCATCAAATAAATGGGTCAGCATAACGCGATTATGGACAATTATACATGAGTTGAATAAATTTTGACACGACCCGAATTAACTACGATACAAACCCGACTTGACACTAGCCGTTCACAACTCTATTCATATTTCCCTAAAAACAATCAAGTTATCTGGGTGTCCAAACTACACAATGTGTTCACATCATGGTTAACAATGAGGGACTGCATTGGTAGCATTTTGCCTTCATTCCCCAGTTTCAGACTTTCTTTTTCCCACTTGTATTTTTGGGTCTAAAATCACACCCAAAAGCATTGATTTATCAGCAGCAAAAATTATAAGAAAATTTACAGATTGTAGGTCATAGACATTGGAACCAACCTGAAGGGTCCTTGTTGCAAATTCGACACCAATGGTGGACTTAGACTCCAAACAGAACTCATTCCTGGTGAACCTGGAGAGTATATTAGATTTTCCAACACCCGAATCACCAATCAAGACAATCTTGAATAGGTAATCGTATTCTTGATCAACCTTATATGCCATCGAGTCTTCCCTTTATATCCACACCACCACAAAACCTACATTGACCCAAATCAAAATCCATTAGTGGAAGAAAAACCAACAAACATTCAAGAAAATGTTTGAAAATAACTCCAGATTTACAACGTTTTTTTTCCTGTTTCTTGTCTTTCAAGTTCTTTGAATTCTGTTTTTCTCTGGAGAAAAGGGGAAGGGAAAAGAAAAAAAAAAAACTACCCATATACAAATGATGATATGGTTGATGAAGAACACACTAGTATGGAGAATTTTCAATTCTAGGAAGTGCCAGAATTCTTGGAATGTTAGAGAATGAGAAAATAGAAAGAAAGAGCAATTCAAATTGAGTCCAGTAAAAAGAAACAGAATAACCGACTAAAAAGGAATTCAAACGGCCATACATTAAATAAAACCATCAGTAAAACTCGGAATATTTGTCTGGGAGAATAGCACTTTGCACTTTAAAAGATTTCAAAATTCTCACTTTATACATTTAAAGATTAAATTTTTCATATTATACCATTAATGGATCAAAAGTGTTACAATATAACTCTCTTATTAGCTTTCCGTCAGCATCAATAGGTTGGATTTTGACGAAAAAATATAATGTAAGCTAACAGAAAGGATACATTACAACACTTTTAATACATTAAAAATATAATATAAAAAAAATTAATCTTTGAAGGTATAAAATAAGAATCTTAAATCCTCCAATTCCAATGAAAAACATTTTTGGCTCAAAGGAAAAGAGATTTTTTTTTTAACGTAGGGAGGTTGAGTTATTATGGTTAAAAGATTAAAATTTAAGTCGTAATATAGGGGTTGTTTGATAATACTACTAAATGCTTAAAACTAAATACATTAAGTCTTTAATGATTAAATCCGTTTGACAACTAAAAACTCATACTACTTAATATCTTAAGTATTTCTTAAAAATAGACTAAACTTTTACGTAGTAAACAACCTAAAGAAAATATCACTTAAAGCTAAAAATTTTAGTAAGATTTTTATAAAATTTTTATATTAGACAAACATACATTTAATGTATTTTACACTCATAATTTTTTAATTCCCACCATCTACAACCATCGCCATTGTGCTGTCGTAGCCACCATCACTACCACTATTGTGTTGCCACAACTACCATCATTGTATTGCCGTCATCACCACCACCACTCTTGTTGTGCTGCCGCTACTACCACCACTATCGTGCTGTCGCCACTATCATTACTATTATGCGACTGCCACTATTGTCATCACCATTGTGCCATCGTCACCATTGACATTGGTGGTGGTGGTAGGAATAAGATAATTGCAGTGAAATAGTTAAAAAGAAAGATAAAATTAAAATAATAATAATTTTTAAACTTCAAATCTTTATATTTGTTAAAAAGTTTGATTTAATTCAATTCTTAAATTTCAATGAATCAAACAATATGTGAAATTAAAAATTCAATATTTTGTTTTCAGCATTCAAATTTTAGTTTTATCAAATACTACATAAAGTGTTGTTTAATAACACTACTTAATGTTTAAAATTGAATACTTTAAGAACTAAATGAATTAAATTCCTTTAGTAACCTAAAACTCATACGACTAATATTTTAAGCACTTCTTAAAAATATGTTAAAATTTTAAATAGCAAGCCATTTAATTATTATTTAATACTAAAAATGTTAGTCAGTAAGAATTTTATAAATTCCTCATAATGGATAAATATTTTCTATTTGTATTTTATACTCTTAACCTTTCAATACTCACTATTCACCACTGCCACCATTGTGTCGCTTCCACCACTGACACCGTTGTGACAGTGGTGATAAGTATAAGATAATTGTTGTGAGATGGTTAAAAAAAAGGGCAAAATCAGAATAATAATAATTTTCAGACTTTAACTCTTTATATTTGTTAAACAATTTAATTTAATTCAATATTTAAATTTCAGTGAATGCCAAATAATATGTGAATTAAAAAATTTAATATTTAATGCTTAAAAGTAATCAATTTTTAATTTTATCAAACACCATCTAAGTTATCGAATGTGAACCATTATTATATTTTTGTGTAAACATGACTGTATTTTATTATATGAATTTCATTGTACTAAAGGAAGCTAATAATTGAGCTGAGCTACTTGCACTTTGGTCGTACAGGACTTGACTCATCCTTTAAATAAGCTAAATTTGGACAATTTTTATGTGTCCTTTGCTATTACTCCTGGTATGATTGCAACTTTTTTTATGTTCAAGAATCAAAGTGGCCAGCCCCCAATCAACTGACGAGGCTGCTTTCAATCTAATGATAAATTCTTTGGTCTGTTAAAATGACGTTTTATATTCTTTTAGAAAACGAGTCTAGATGGCTCGACTAAACCTCACAAAACTTGACTTGTTTATATGTAAAATAGTTGAGTTATTCGAGCTCGACTTGAGCTCGACTCACTTTATTTTCTGAACTAGTTGAGTTTGAACTATTTGTTAGGCTTATTCAGAAAAATGAGTTTGATAGATTCAATTCAAATACACAAAGCTCAGCTCGATTACTGGACCAAAAAAAAAGAAGAGAAAGGTCTGTTTTCCGACATAATTTCTTCTATTTTTTGGGAAATTAAACCATGTGAATTAGTTCTGGGGGCATAGGACTTGAATTTCATGTCCAGAATGGGAATAAGACGCAGAGGCTCAAGCCGAAAAGGGTGAGCATGGGTCTGGTTACCCAACTTGAAAAATCTAACGTTTGGGTCTTTTTAGCTTATGGGCAGGGCTGAGAAAAACAGCCCCAAAAATGTTTTGGGCTAGGGTCATGACTAAAGGTCCAAGCACACAGCGCCCGTGTACTTAAAATGAGAAATAATATTTCGAAAAATAGTGAGTATGGACCTTGTAAACTACTTATTTGTAAGAAAAAATCTTTAAAAAATGTGTTATAATAAATAAGTACCACTAGACTGAAATGTATTGTGTCTAGACTGAAATGTATTTATAACAGTTTTTTTTTTTTTACTAAAATACGCTTTCCCAATATTTATAATATTTGTATTTTGACAGTTCCTTTTTATATGGGATTTGGTTTTCCCAATATTTATAGTGTTTGTATTTTGACAGTTCTTTTTTATAGGGGATTTGGTTTTATTAACAAGCAATTTCTTAATCAGGAGGATTTTTTTCTTTTTTTGAACGTCTTAATCACCCATAAAATTTATTTACTACATCTCGTAGGACAATATTGTCTTTTTAAAGTTATAGTGTGATGTAACTCTACGAATCGATGGAAACAATATAAATGCATGCCACAGTATGATATCACGTTACAATGTCACACTTTGTGATGCATACCATTTAGTGTTTGCATGCATTAGTGAATCCAATTGCATAGTTTTTAAAGTGATTAAATTATTATTCAAAATGTAACACTGTCATATTGCACTATAACGTCACACTATTACACATAAACTGATGTGTTCATAATACCCAATCTTTTTGTGGTTTATTGGCCGCACTATGTCTTGTGTGTCAAGGAGGTTGTCCTTGGCAAACATTAAAACTCTTTAACCTTTTTTTCTACATTAACTCTTACAAACAATGAAATTGTAAAGAAACATGATAAGCAACTTTCACAATAACCGATAAATCTCACATGCAGTTGCCCAACACAGTTTGACACTATATGAAACTGCCTATTGTGCAAATCTACAAACGCAAAATTATTTTTTTAACCTAAATACTAACAACTCATGTAACAGCGAGAATTCACACTGTGACAAGACATGTTGACATTAAAAAAACCACATTAAGGAACATTGTCAATAAAT